TAATTTTGCCGACCCACAAGGTTTACGTACACTTACATCACCTACGACGTTTTATTTCTAAAATTTGCATACAAATAATCTTTCTACTGAATTACGTGCATATTATACTGCAATTTCATGGCTATCTTATACTTTGTTGGGGAGCTGTGGCCGAAAAACCACTTGCTGCTTAAGTTTTGCTCACCAGTGTAATAAATAAATCAGTAAAATCATGATTGTTATATTCTTATCTCAATTTTAAAAAGAATGTCCATATTATTTAAGAACCAAGTAGAATAGTAAGATGAGACCAAATTTCTCATTAGTTTTGAAACAAAAATTGTAAAGATACGTTGTATTGGCGATCGAAATGGGCTGCAGGTGGCGTAGAGCAGAACTCTCTACCTATGGCAACACTTCGCATGCTTTCTCCATTAGCGTGTGGAGAAGAAGGAAGTAGGTTAGTTTCTGTCTTAATTTTCAACTACATTAAACTACAATTAACTACATTAAACATAGTTTTAAAAGAAAGCATCATGGAAATTTAAAAAAAAATTAACAATTAAATACGAAAAATATTAAGAAAAGGAAAAATATCGTAGTACTTTACTATACAACTAAAAAGAGGCATGGAACCGATCTTCTCCCCAAGTAGGGTATTCGAGAGTTGCGATCGCCTATATGAATTTCAATATTAAAATAATTTTCGCCATTCCAACATAATATTGTGCCGTAGTGGGTTTGATAAGAAGAAGAATCGAGTGCGGCAAGCCACAAGATAGTCTCAAGGATAATCTAGCAACACAATTGTAGGCGAAGTCCCTAACATAATTAAAACAAACTTTAATACATAACTTTAATATTTTACAAACTTCACAAACTTTAATATTTAATATAGGAAAGAAATACAAGTTATAAAAAAAACATTAAGATGCAAAATTTACTTATATAAGTACGAAAACTGGAGTATACTAAGCAAGACTAAACAAAAAGAGAGAATAAATGTGTTTAAAAAGCGAAACGATCTCAAATAAACTGGCAGTTTCATGGGGTAGTGAGCAGGGGGAGAAGCCCATAGGTGTAGCATCCAGGGTACAGAGAATACGTAACCCCTCCAGTAATTTTCCTAAATTTTGATGATATTTAAAAAAAAAAAAAAAAACTATTTCTAGGATACTTGAGGTATCCTAGAAATTTTATTTGATGAAAAATTATTATTTTAGATAGTTTGAGCATAAATTAAAGAAACACTCTATGATTACTACTTTGATGCAAGTGGTATAAAAAAAAACTATTTAATGAGTTTTTTTTTAAATTTTTAAATTTTTTTTTTTCTTAAATTGCATTAGTTTGAAATTTGTGATTTCGGAGAAACAAATTTTGAGCAGTATTGTTAGTTATAACAGCAATTTAATTTATGCGTTATGTAAATTTTATAATTACGTAATGAATTTTTATCAACAAAGCGTAATGTTTTTAATTATATTTTTTCTTATTGCCAAAACTTTTTGTTAGCATGTTTTGACTGCGAAATGTCCCGCAGTGAACTGATCGTTAAGACACGGTTCCCAGCAGATCACCGAAGTCAAGCATCACTGGCTGCGGTCAGTGTGCGGGTGGGTGACCACTTGGATCAGTCTGCGTAGGGACCGAGGGTATGCGGTATTGGTCCTCGTTAAACTGTGCTNTTGTTCAAACATATCCAATTTTATTTATACTTATTCAAACTGTAATATAAATGAGTTTCATACAGCTACGATAAAAACTCATGCGCAGGAAACATTTTGAAATATTGGAACATTTAGTAATTTAACTTGCGGATAAATTATTAAAAAAATTATAACTTTTCAACAAATTAATATTTTTGCTTCAAATTTTGGGAATATCTTTCTAAATGCTTTATTCACAATCTATGAAATTTTCATTAAAATTGGTTGATATTTAAAAAAAATCTTTTTGAACCTGAAGTGTCCCCTTAAGACCGTCGCGTACGTCGAGTGGCGTGTCTTAAGACTGTTTCAGTTGAATCCCAGCCTAAGGTTTCTCATTCTCATACGAAAAAATCATATCCAGTGAGAATGGCGCTTAAGAATCTTGATGATCGGAAGATTTCTGCCAAGCACTGAGAAAAGTAAAGATTTTTTTCTGAAGCGCTACCTATAAAATAATTTGATTTTTGAAAAGATCATAATTTTTTTATAAAAAAAAGTGACTTTAACTTCACCTAAATATTGCAAATTGATACGATTGATATCAACACTATGGTACTAATTAGTTTCGCTCTGTCATAAAGTCATAAAAATGTTACTTCACAAGGCAAGGAAAAATACATTTTATGAGAAAAATAAATATAATTTATTTCCATTTAATAAATTGTTTTTTTCTTCCTTTTGCTTTAAGAATAATTATTATTATAATTTTGTCTTTTATAATTCTGTGTATCGAGTATCAATAAAACTTCTCTAGAATTTTAATTTGATTTATAAATGTCTTAAATAAGCAAATCGATTCAAATTTGCTTCATCTTTTCCCTTAAAGTCTGAAATAGTGTAACATAATCGTTTATTTTTTTTATCGAGATTATTTCTAATCTCGGGGCTAAAATGAGTAATCGAATATACCTTTCAAGTTTACTTGGATATTAATTTTACTATAATTCTAATGGAATTAATCCGTTTTCTTATTTTTAATTTTTGTGTGTTTAAAAACCGTTGTCTCACTTAAATGTTTACATTTTTTTGTTCTTCAGTTTTAACAGAAAATATTTTTTAGACACAATGATACTGCTATACTGTTTTTACTAAAACTAACATCAAAGCATTAATCTTATGTATAGAAAGTGTTATAGGAACTTCTTTACCATAAATAAATCCTTCTGAAAGAATTTTTTTTTTCAAAGAATAATGATAGAATTATTTTTGCATTAGCTTTTTGCTTTAATTTGTAGTGCTATATTTTACTTGATGTTTGTGCTTGAATTACCTAAATTGCTGAGGGATACTGTTCTGGAAATTCTTTTTCTTGAGTATATTTTTTATACTCATATATAAGATACTTATATATATAATATACTCATAGATAAGAAATTCCTATATATGAGTATATTCATTAACTGGGTGCCAGGCAAAAATCCCTGTCGCTAAGTGGTGCCAAGTTTGTAAAGTATCTCTGCAAATAAACAATTTTCTAATGCATGATAACATTTTGTTGGAAAATTGTCATATTTTCACTTGAACCAAGTTTTGGTCCACCATCATGAAATCAGGCAAATTCTAATCCAACTCTGAGAAAGCTACAATATAGTTTTTAAAAATTTATTTCAAGTTCAAAAACTGAGCAGTTTTGCTTGGCCATTTCAGATAGTGGAAACAGGTACTAATAAAGACGCTTTCCCGCCATATAACTAATGTGCCAGCTAGTAGATAACTTCTAAAAGAAGAAGTGTTGTTTGTTTAAATTATTCCTATAAATTAGTTTAGCACTTTATATATTTATAAATTTGTGTTAAAATGTTATTTTAAAATTTTTAGTTATTCATAAGTTTTCAGGGGAAACTTTCGTAGAGGCAACAATAGGTCTTTAAATAAGCAATATTTTAAACCAATGCAAAATTGAAAAATCCAAAAGTATAGTCGTTTATAAATAATTTCATTAAATACTTATTAGAACTACATATCTAAAATTTTAACATTGGATTTACCAAATATGTAAAAATAATACAATTGATTATATTTTATAACAAATTATTATTTTTTATTTTTATCTTCTTGAGCATTGAATTATAGTTATTTCTATGAATTTTAATAAAATATGTTTTTTTATAGCTATTTTGTGCTTTTCAAATTTTAATGTTTTTTCCTATTTATTTCTTTTACTAATTTTATTTTTATAGATACCTTGTGATCTTTGAAAATTCTGGTGATATTGTAAATTTTGAAGAAATTTAAATGAAGGCATGACTGAGGTAATCTTTATTTATGTTAATGATTAAAAAATAATAGATAAATACGTGTTTATGCATTAAGTCACCATTTATTATGTGTTTTTCAAGTAACAAACAAATTGAAATATGAAAAGGCATATAAATTAAGCAAACTAATTGAAATTAATTCTAAAAATAATTTTGATAACATATTAGATATAACATTTTAGATATAACATTTTAATATATTAGGTAACATATTGATCTGTATATGGGACAAAACGACATATAACCGATAATTTATGTTTTTTTCCGTCACATAATTATTTTAAAATTCATAGAATAAGAATGAACTACAATTAAACGATATTGAAAGTAAGAGAAATAAAAAGGGTCCCTTACTGTTATTGTATATTTTTATTATTGTGTACTTATGATTGTATATTTTTCTTAGCGAAGGTAAAATTTATCTAAATTTAATTAATTTGTGTTTGCTTAATCAGTACAGTTTTAAAATAGAAAACTGGAACACATTAATAACTTTTGATCTAATGATCCGATTATCAGCTACTAACATGCAATCCTAAAGGGTTGAAGAAATTATCTTAAATATGCTAATTAATTATTGCTGACAATATTTTTAAATCGAAAATTAGTCAAAACTTACACTTTCACTGAAAAAACTTTTTTTTTTACAATAAAGAGTAGATGCACATCAGACAATGTTCCAATAGTTACTGTAGTTTGGATTGTTGTTGATAGTTTGTAGATATTAGTATTAGTCAAAATTGATATAAAATGCTAATAAAACTTAGGACCTAATGTTATTGTCACTTTTGTTTATTTGACCTTACCTATGGAACTGTTTAAAAAATTTAAAAACTTCGGCACGCAATTGTAAAACTTGTTATTTGAAATATAATTTATACTAAAAATAAATTTTAAAGATAATAAATAATCTAAAGATAATAAAAGTCTATGTTTCTCGATCGTTTTTTGCACTGTAATTGCTTCGGAATTTTGCATGGTTTATAAAAAAAACCAATACTCTTAATACAATATTGAGATATGTGAATTTCATTTTGAGTAATCACATTTTGTCTGGCTTTATTTTTAAAAATTTTATCTCAAATCCAAGTGATTTTTCGATCCTTTTTTTTTTTTTTTGCCAGTCAGTTTACAAATTTCATGTTTAAAATACCGATACGTTTAATACAATATTATAACTTAGTTTTGAATAGTGCATTTATTAAATATACTTTTATTGCAAAATTTTGACTCTCTTTATTTAAGCCGAAAAAATCATTAAACAAAATGATTTTTTTAAAAAAACTTTTTTTAAAGGGTAATTTTTGCTACTCTTCTTTACGTGATTTTTAAATTCCAAATTTTTACTTGAATTGAAAAACTTGAATTTTTAGGCTGCTCACTGTTTGTCATTTTTAAAAAAAATTTTTCTCCTGAAACTTAGATGATTTTTTTCGGAAAAAAAACGAAAAAGGAAACGTTTCCTGTTTAAAATTCATGAAAGCTCTAATAATTCAAGATATAGAAATAATATCTGAAGTATAATACCAAATAAATATTGAATCTTATTTTGTAATATAATGGTTTTATTTTAATCTTTGATTTTTGTTTAAACCCAATAGATTTTCTTCAATTAAAATATTTAATTTGAATTTATATTACTCATCAAAATATGTATTAATTGATTTATTTTTTTCTGCAATTTTTGAAAAAAAAAGAAGGAAATTAAAAAAAAAAATCATTAGTCTTTTATTTTAAATTAATTTTATTAATTAAAAGTATTTAATTTTCTGAAAATATTACTGATAAAAAAATAAAGTTTACTGATAAAAAATTTTTTTTGCTTATGTTTATATAATTTTTTTTTATTATTTATTGTACCATTAACATGTCTAAATATTTGTGTAGCCCTTTATTATTTAACTTGCTATGCAAGTGACCAAAATGTGCACCCCTAATTTAATGTATTCAATTTACAAAAAAAAGAAAAATATATATAATTGTAATATATTATGTAATGAAAAAAAAAATGAAATAGTTTTTCTAAGTACAGTAGGAAGTCCCATATTACTCTGGTGAGTCCATATTTAAGGTTTTTAACTAAAAGACCTATTTTTTAGAAAAATATCTTTCCAAACTTTGATTAAATAAAAACCTTCTGCTGATGCGAAATCTCAATTTAAAAGCTTTCTACTCAAAATCCATTTACACTTGTAACTAGCTTCAACCATTTCGTCGCTATCTAATTTTAATGAAATTTGTTCGAAAATCACTTTTAAAAAGCGTTTTAATTGAAATATATATATACATTGTTTTTTGTTAATATCAGCATATATATCTTTAAATTCAGCAGTTTTATGAAGACATTAGTATAAAACGAGTTATTGGTTTACTTTGTTTTTTCTTATGCTTGACTTACTTTGCATTTTCTTTGTTATTTAGAAACATAAATGTTCATTCAGAAATATTTCAATGCAGACATTCAATAAATATTTTTATACGAATCACTTTTAATTTCTTTTACACAGAAAGAATCTTGCTTTCTTACGCTACTCATTTTAGAATAAAAAATAAAGAGCATTAAAACTAAATTCTTTAAATATGTTTTAACGCAAAAAAATATTTAAAAAAATACGGAATCATCAAATTACATACTTGATGTCATCCTTTTTTAAAAAAAAAGAGTGATATGTATACATAACGTCATATTATGTTTAGCTTTTTTAATAATAATAAACTAAAAAATTTTCTGCGATGGTGAGAAAGTTATGTGTTCATGCATATACCATATTTCCTATTTATAATTTTCCGATACGAAACATAAAATTTTATAACAGATCGCAAACATTAAAAAAAATAATTAAAAATTTTGAATTTATAATTTTTTTGGGATAAGGAAAATAGATTTGTATATTTTAATTGTTAAAAAGTTTCCTGAAAATAGACATTTCTAAAAAGTTTTTGAAAAACTGACATCTGAATATGGGATTTAGTACTATAATGTATTTTTGTAAAAAATATGTTTGTTTGAGCTCTGTTTTGAATGTCTGTTTTGAAAAATTAATTTAACAGCATATATTTTTTAAATCTGAACATGATTTTCTTTACAGAAAATATTATGTTTATATTTTGAGTTTAATTCATTTTGAGATAATACCTCATTATTTCATTTTAATCTCTCCATAAACTGTAGTAATTTATAAACATGGTTAATAAACTCTGTATTTTAAATGAAATAGAAATTTACATTTCAAATCTTAATTATTTTTATGCATTTTCTAATCGTAATAAAATTTTTGTTGTTGAAGTTAAAGAGTTTTCAAAAATTTTATTCAAGCGAATAAATTTAAATATCAAGCAATTAGAATGTGATGCAGGTGTGCTATTAAATTTGATAGTTAATTCAAATTACAGCAAATGCTTGACTATCCAGAATGTGCGAGAATCATAAAAATCCGGATTGATGTCAATTCTAAACACTTGGCGATTAACACATTGGTTTTCCACATTTCCTTATTTCTTGGAAATGTGCTGTGCTTGCTTAGAAGTAAAAATTTTAACGGAAACGTTTGTTAAAAAATAAAAATCCTACACATTAGTTGTCCTTAAAATTATTAAAAGTAGGTTGAAGAAAAAATGCTGCATTATTTAGATTGATGAGACTCAGTGCATAAAATTTTCAAAACCTGGATTGTATGGTAATATGTTTAAAGCAAATAAACTTTAAATTGATTTTAATTAAAGCACTATAAACATATGTTTACTACAACCCTAATAAATCATCCTTTTTTATTGGCATTCAATATTATCTTCTGCATCTCTGTCACCTGATGATCCTCTTAAAATTAGATTCCTAATTTTGTTTATGGCAACAAAATTTTGAATCTTCCATTAAGGAGAGGAAAGGCAGTTTTTAGAAAATTAATTAAATAATATTCAATTTGTTACCTTTTGTACTTTATATTGTTAATTTTTTACCTCGATTCAGGCAAATGTAGTTAAACCTAGCACCATTGCAATCTACTTTCAATCCATCTGCTGTCTATATATACCTGTTTTACTACATGTTAACCGTAAAAAATGTTAAAGATTTAAAATTAAAAACAAATCCATGTATGTTTGGTTAGAAGTTTATGGATTTTTTGTAGAATTTCTAAAAATAGACCAATTGATTTTGAAACTTGACTCCAAGTTTTCTTTATTTTGAGCCCTTTTAATTGATTCATTATTGCTCCCTCTTTAAGAAAATTAATTAAAAGTGTTTCCTCTTTCAAAAAAGATTTGAACTTTTTTGAGCACCTGCTATTATTCTTCATAGACTATGACCAGACATACTCTGTTTATGATACTTCTAATGTAGATAATTTTAACCCTCAACGCACTGTGTGCAGACCAGCAGACGAAAAGTAATTGTTTTACCATAACTTCATTTGGTGACCTAGGACTAACCCTGTCTATTGACAAGTCCTAGTTATCTAAACTACTTGTAATAGTTTACTTGTTCTATATCTGCTATTTTTATTAATTTATTATACTTTTTTTTTCTAGTGAATACAAGGAAATGGATTCAGGTGGAAAAGAGGGCAAGTATTACCTTTATTTTTATTTTATTTATTTTTTTAAATTTACTATTTCTAAAATTGCAATATTATGGATTTATAAAATTACATCATTAGGATTTCATCAGGATTGTTGGACATTATGATTTAACCATTTTTTTGAAACACTCCTAATATTTGGCAAGTTTAAAAATCCTTTCTTTATCTGTACACAATTTCATTCTCAGGGGACAAAAACTTTCTACTAATTAAGGCAAATGGTAACTGAAACATTCCATTTTGAATTCTCAAGAATTGAAATTCTGGGAATTAAAATTAATAATTTACTGTTGTCATTATTTTTACTAAAATTTGCATTTATCATACATTTATAATTTATCTTAAGATTCAGAATTTTTAAAGAAAATATATATATAATTAAATTTTGTTTTACCCTCTAAGAGCCAACTTTTTTTTTCTTCATTTGAGCAAAAAAGTTTTTGTATTAAGAAAATGATTACAGCTAATAATTAAAAAAAATTTTTTTTCTTAGACATCAATTCTGATCCATAAATCAAGCAGAATAATAATAACAAATTTTAAAGAAAAAAAATTGCTTTTATTTCCACTAACTAATCCCTTTTTTTTAAATTTAATATATCTTACAATTTGGTATTATTTTTTTATGAAGGTACTCCCATTCTTTAAAATCACATTTTGTGTCTTAAATCTAAATGAATAATTCTATGATAAACATAAAGTTAAAAATTTAAGAAAATTTAACTGTGATGTGTTGAATTATTCCATTACACCCTAATCATTATCATACCATTCCAACTGAATGAACTTGTTCTACTATCGATTAGCGGCAGTTCATGAACTAGTGATTCTTACTTGTGATTTCATAGTAGTCAATGGGGATATTTAGTGGTCTTAGACCAGTGGATCACTACTAGTTTCAAAGGCTGCTTTAAATTAATTTTTTTAAGGAAATGCTGATGTCAATTTTATATTAATTAAATATTAGTGTGAAGAAATATTAACTATTTGATGCTGGTTACTTTTTGTAAGCAACAGTGCTATGTTGTTCAGTGCACCAGCAAAAAAAATTAAACTAGAAACTATCAAAGTTTTCCATCCAATCAAAGTAATTCTGAAATTAAAAATAGTATGTTTTATTATTTTTCTGTGATAAAATTTGCCTTTTTTATACTTAGTAACTTATATATATATATTAGTTTGTCCTTCATTTTTTTTTCAATCGAAGTCTAGTGTATGTATTTGTATGCTGTTTCAAAAAATGTCTTGATTATTATTTTTTTTTTTTTGGAAAAATGTTCAAAATTCTGATGAGGTTTATATTTAAAATATAATATATCTGAAATAGCATAAAGAAAGTAGTATTTAGGTTTTGACCTTTAACACTGTCTCCTAAATGCTATTCAATATTTGAATATCTATATTTATTCCTATATATAAAGCAGCATTTTTAGGTTTTTGACAAGGCAGTTTTATCTGTTGAAAAACTTGGCACCTCTGATATCGAAAAACCTTTTCTTATGTTAGTAGATCATAATTTTTTTTTTTTTTTTTTTTGATTTTTTTTTTTTTTNTTTTTTTTTTTTTTTTTTGCATGACAATTATTATTATTTTTTTTGTTGAGGAATTTGCTGATATATCCTATTTTATATCATTTGTTAAAATCAAGTTCTTATTTACAAAAAACTAATAATCATTTGGAAAATGAGCTTTTTTATATGCTTTTGCAAAATGTGAAATTCACTGAGAAAGTATACCAATCAACGAAAAGTTTATATTGAAGTAACTATTCACAGTGCTATTCATTGTGAATAGTTACTTCATATATAATTTGGCTTCCCTACTATCGTCCCCCCTTTTTTTTTCTTTTCTCCTATTTTTTTGGTAATGAAAAAAAAGTTGCTCACCTGAAAATTTACCATGCTGCATGATTCAAATTAAAATTTCTTTTTCATGAGGTAGCAACTTAATTAAATATATTTTTTAAAAAGAGTAATTTTTTTAAAGTATTAACATTTGTACTTGGTATAATTTAATAAAAAATTTTATCTTCCTATTCGTCTATTTACAAGTGTTACACACCAGTTTACTGACATGTTTTTATAATAACTTTCAATATAGGCGCTAGTTATCTAGATGGAGTTCCTGTAAAAATATCTTCAAAATTCATACCTCCTAGACCAGTTCCTCTTCCCTATGCGTATGATGAAAAGCTTAATTATAATATACTAGATGAAGTGGTAAGTTGTGACATGGTGTTGTAATAAATTGAAGAGGTAAATGGAAGAACATATCAAGTGATGTTTTTATAAATTTGTGAAAATCAACAAAAAATAAAAATTAAAAGAATGAAGAGAAAAAAAAAAAGACTCAAAGAGATATTTACAAATAATCTTTTTGCTCTAAAATCTGCTTTTCCTGAAATAATGATAATTTGGCAAAATAAATTAATATCCTGTTCTTATAACCAACTAAGCATTTTTTAGGCATGAAAAATTGTTAGTTTTCAGATTGTTATTTAAGATATTCTCTTCCAATAAGCTCTTTAATTATTATTCTTGTTAATTATGTTATTTATGTTTTGTTAATTATGCATAAAAAATTCAAGATGTTTGCAAAACATTCTTTTGCATTAAAAATCCACATTTTCTAGTAATAATAATAATATTAATAAATAAACCAATAATCTGTTAGAATAAATTTATACCCTGTACTTACAACCTACTATAAACATAGCTTTTTAAACATGGGAAATGGTGAGTTTTCAGATTGTCAATTAATCTATTATCTTCTAATAAGCTCTTTTAATTTATGTTTTTTATTAATTATGCTATTTAGGTCTTCTTAAATGTGTATAGCGAAATTCAGGGGGATGTTTTCAAAACATTCTTTTGCACTGAAACCTGCATTTTCACAAGTAATGATAATAATAATTTAGCAGAATAAATTTATATCCTGTACTTACAACCAACTAAAAATAGCATTTAAGCATGGAAAATCAAAAGTTTTAAAATTGTCACCCTATGTATTCACTTTCAATAAGCTCTCTAAATTTATATTTGTATTCTTGTTAATCTCTGTGCTTGCATTATTTCAGCTTTGAGTATTTATCATTGTTTTTTTTTCCAGTATGACTTCACATTAGAGAAGAGTGTCATTGAACATCATTCAAACTGCCTTTTTCAGTTGGAAAAAGCCAAGTTTAAACGATCTCCTCAGAATAAGTCATCCGATTCAGGAGAAGATCAACCTTCGTGCAGTAGTTCGAACCTGGAAGAATCGCGGCATTCTTCGTATTCTAATGCTCAAAATGTGGTCTCTTGGTCAACCAATTCCATTCTTCAGCCTAAACCTCAACAGCCTCTGGATCAGGTGTCCTCGGAAAACATTCCTGAAGACAAGGTCATGAAAATTAACTTGTCCGACTTCGAGAATGATACTTCTAGTCCATTTGATTATATGGAACTTCAAACTATAAATGACCTAGAGGAACTCAGTAGTGTATTTCAGGGTATCAATAGCACCAATCTTCAGGAGGAATCCGCTCCTGCTAGACAAAGCGGGGAGATTCCGAGCAACGTGTCTAAATCAAAAAGTTTTCCCTTTCCCTCAAGCTCTAAAGATGTAGAAACGGGAACGGAATTGGGTCGGACATCACTCCCTTCGTCTTCGTATGAAATTCCTCGCATGATATCCAATTTAAATCAGATAGAAGATTTCCCAAATGATTCATATTTGAAGCTCTCCCAAGTGCCTTACATCTCTTCAAATGCTGGGGCACAAGCAAGGCCTTCGATAGCAAGAGTGCCATCCCTTTTGAGGGTCAGCAAAAGCTACTCAGATATTTCTAGTCTAGGTAAAACGGCGGATGTCCACGACGAGAGAGAGCGGTCCCGTACTCCACCCTCCACATTTTCATATTCTGTGGTATATTCTTTACTTGACATTCTTTAACTTTAAAAACTATTTTCTATTATCCAATTTATTTTTTATTTTCAACTGTACTTATAGAATCCTGGAAAATTAACTTGTTACTTACATACCCAGTGGCAGAATCGCAGTGACATTGTCGCAGAACTTTGCAGAGTTCTTGTAGAAAGATTTTTCTTTCGGAAAGTAAAAAATGTTGGTTTGTTTTTCTGCAGAAATTTACACGTAAAATTTGAATCCCGCATTTAAATAATCATTTTATGTAGCGCTCAATTTATGCCGATATCATAAACCCTTTTTTAATGTATTTTTGGTAGTTATTGGCATTGATTTTCACATGCCTTTTAGATCTCCCGATATATTTTAGGCGATATGGGAAATTCGAATTGCGCATTTGATCATTTACTTTTTAAGGCAATGATTCTATCATTTTTTTTGTGGCAGTTTTAACTTTCACATAGTTTTTAAAAAATCAATATTTTTTATACAACATTATTTATTACAACAATCAAATCTTGAACAGAAACATACATTTGAGTAACCCCTTTCTAAAGAAACCATTTTGCATGATTTTGTCGTCAATATGTTTTTCAGTAATTACTGTAACAGATTTCATGATATTTGATTTTTTTTTTTTTGTGATGATGATTTGCAAAATGCGATAAAGGAAAGAATTAGTGCGCCTAACCCCCAACAAAATGGGAGAATATCGCCTATAATATTAGAATAAGAAAAATATTACTTATTCAATTAAAAAAAAATTGTTTGTGTGAACACAGTGATTTTGTTTCCTTAAATTAGTAACATACATTTTTGTTGAAAGTATCTTACAGAAAGATATTAGTGCTAGAGAATTTTGTCACAGAAAGCTCGAAAAAATTCTGCCATAGGGCTTACATTATAAAGAAGAATTTTTCATTAGAAAATCTATTCAGTTGAAAAATGCTTCTTGTAGATCCTTTACAGTCTACAATCTTAAGTATGACCTTCTTTACTGTAACCCTTTCATTATAATATCTGATGCATGAAGTCATATTTGTTCTGCCATAAAATGCAATGCTATTTCATTGCTCATTAGACCATCCAACATGAACTATTCGTTACAATGTAGCAACTGGGAGTCGTAATGGCTCAGGGGATAGAGCATTTGCCTTCCAATGATGTGAACCGGGTTCGAATCCCAGCGATGACTGGTCGATACGAATTCCGCATCCCGCGACCACAGTACTGTCGTGAAATATACTCAGTAGTAGGCAGACCACGGGTTAGAGTTCCCTAGCCGTCAGGATAATTGTGGGAGATTCTTATGATCTTCCTCTCCATGTAATGCAAATGCGGGTTAGTTCCATCAGAAAGTCTTTCCCTGAAGCAAATTTCTCCCAATACTTGATATAGGAGATCCTTGTCATCTGGCTTGGGTTCAAAATTACGGAGTTGAACATCAGTTGTCGTAAGCCCAATATTGGGTCCATTGTTCAACTATGGTTATAAAATTTAAAAATAAAATGTAGCAACTGGAATTTTTTTTTAGTGTTGAGCAAAAATTAAGATTAAGCAAAAAAAGAAAGAAAAAAATGCTGTTTTTGGCCTGAATTGTAGTTAACCTTGTGCAGCTTAAAGATGGGCCGAAAAGAAAGAAAAATTGGCAATATTTTTCTTTTTCAGAAAACAATTTGCTGAAGTTTTAAAATTTTTGGTTTTAATCAGGGTTCACCAAAACACATAGGATTTTTTTTTTTTTAGAAAAAAACCCAGCCCATGTAAGTTTTTTTTCTTCATTTTTACAAAGTAAATCGACAATTTTGCCCAGAGGAAAGTCCCAATTTCATGGAAAGTCCCAATTTTGCAAGATGAGTGGGTTTTTTCAAATATATTCTATATACATACTTATATAAACTAAATATATGAATAAGTTGTATATACTAAAAATTATTGCTTGATTATTACCAAAGAGATTAATTAAAGAAATTGTTCTATCTGCGAATGAGAATTATCATTATTTTTCTGCTTTCTAATTGTGTATTGAATTACATAATGATGAAGTAACTAGTCTTTGTAAAGTGTAAATCATAATATTTTATGTGATCAGTTTTAAATTAACACATAATTTTCTTTAAATCAGTGCATTTTCTCGAAACATTATTTTCATTTATGAAATGAAATGCACATATCTTTTTATTGCACATGGTATGTTTATTTATTTTTTTCATGGCATGAATTTATGTTTCGTACAATGTATTAAAAATGATCAGCTTTTATTTTTATTATACTTTTTGCTTTAAAAATGAAGGAAAAAAGATAATAAATTTTAAATACTTGTTTTCTAAGCATTCTAACTTTATAATTTAAGATTATAATGGACACGCAGAAAGGCTTATGAAATTTAATTAATAATTGTGCTTGAATAAATTTATCATGGAACAACTAATGTCTTTGTAATATGCATTCACATTCCGCTTTATATGTTCTATATATAAAATGTAATCGACAAAGCTTTTACCAGATAAAATGTAAGCAAACAAAAATAAGATTTAGATAAAATACATTTTTGGTGCTAATTAATATGTAAGCTATAAACTTAATTTCAAGTGTCATGATAATTTCCTTAAACTAAGAGTTGAAAATATCAGAAAGTATCGCCTTGTTTTTTTTTCATTGAATTATTTAAACACAATTCAAAGTTCTGCTTTTCAGTATCGAAGCGATTTCACATTTTGAACTGAACTATTCAAAAATTGCGAAATATATTGTTTCTGTTCTGCCTGCTATTAGTGAAGCAGTGAATTATCTAGTAATTAGATTAGATGTTTTGACTTTCAACTTTTATTCTAAATTATGACTTTTTGCCAAATTATGGGTTCAATATTCTAAACTTTAACTTTAAAAATAATTAAAAAAAAAAGAAAAAAAAAGTGGCTTTTAAACGTGGCCGTAACTTTTAAGTGGACACAGGTACTGTCTATTATTGAAATCTTAAAATAAAATGGAGATATTTTGGTCTTTTCGAACTATTCTTTACTTAAAATTTTTTTAACTGACGAATTTATTACCGCATCTTTTGGATAAAATTATCCTACATCATTTTCATTTTGAAATATTGGATGCATATAATATACATTTGTTCATGTATTTCAGTAAACCATAAATGGTTTGCGTATCAGATAAATTATACAATAAAGGAAATATGTATGCATCTTACATATTATTTGTTTTATGGATAATTAATGTATTATAATTAAGTAAAATGCTTTTTTTAATCATGTACTTAAATTTTTTCATATATTTAGTCATTGACTGAAATATGATTTACAGATTACTGAAATAGGTTTTTCTTCATATAATTTTGTATAAAAAATTGCAAAGTTTAATTTAAAAAACTAAAATTGATAATTCCAAAGAATAATTTGGTGTGATTTGGCAAAGAAAATTGATTAAAAAAGAATAAAATGTGAAAAAGCTCATTTTGGGGGTATAAAGATTCATTTTTTCAAGTGGGTCCAATGTAAAAAAAACTGCTGGTCTTCTGGTCAAACCAAAATTCGCCCACATTGGCGAATTTTGGTTTGAACTCACTGTAATGTTCATTTCAAATCAATTTTTTAAGTAGGCTTAATATCATTATGTTTTTGTTTAGAATTCTGAAGAAACAATGCCGTGTCAAGATATATCCAGCAACGGTGACTGTTGTGATAGTGATTTGCCTGATCCATATCATGAATTGGATAACTCTGCGCAAGAATTTGTTGATTCTATTACAGAAATGGGTTTTGCTAGACCTCAAGTATCTCGTGCTGTGAAACATTTGGGAACTGATGAGAAAAAGGTCAATATAAAATTAATATATGATTTTTTTTAATGAAAACTTTCATCTACTTTTACAATAAAGATGTCATCAGCTACAGATTTTCACTAATTTTTAATGCATTTACAGAAAACTTTGAAAAACAACAATTAAGTTCAAATTTTCAATTTTTTTGTTAACTTTGTATTTTTCTCTTTGTTCCTTACTTTTAGAAATTTTTTGCAAATGAGATACAAAAACCATAGTTACAGTCTCCACTCACCATGTTGCCAGGTTCAAAGATAAGATTAACAAGAACCTATGCACTCTTCCCAGTCAAACTTGGTAAACTGCAAAGAAAGTACAGTAGGGAACCGATTATCCGGAACGATCGGGACCATCGCTATTCCGGATAATTGATTTTCTCGGTTTTCTGAATCGCTGCAAAAAGCCGTTTTTTTTTTTATTGTTAAACCCAAGTAAAAAAAAATTCTTTGGAAATAATCTTAAAAAGAAGAAAAAACGATGAAGTAATACACTAATAATTATTTCCAAAATGATGGTAAGGTAAACATCTTTCAAAAAAGAAAGAAAAATCCTAAAATCTTATGAGGAAAAAGTGTTTTTTTAAAAAAATGGTGGGAAAATGTATTGAATTTCATTCCGGTTTTTTGGTTTTCCGGATAACGGGTTCTGTACTGTAGTTCAAAACTATTATGGTTGACTTACATTTAAAAAAAAAAAAAAACTATAATAAAACAGAAACAACAATCAATATTATTCAAAAAAATTTCTGAAAAGTCTATATTTCTAAAAATAATTTTATGACTATAATGTTTTACTTAAATTTCTTTTTTTCTTCCTAAAAATCTTACTGATAATCATTGTCAGTGTATGCTTTTTTTTCTTCGTAGCATTAATATTAATGAAGAGTTTTGGATATTAATGAAGAGAAAAATCCTAAACTCTTAAGAGGAAGAAAAAAAAAATTTTTTTTTAGAAAAGTTGCTGAGGCTGGGA